ACCGCTCTTTCCCCTCCACCGCGTCGTCGTCGCTGCTCGCGGCAAAGACGACGGAGGCGGAGGGGGGGGGGAGGGCGATGGCCCCTCCCCCCCGCCAGGGGCGAGCGCGCTGCCGTCCCCGTCCCAGGTCGCGCTGACGTCGCAGGCGCTGGACTCGCTGCGGGGTTCCCCCGCGCTGCCGAGCTTCACGCGCTCGCAGAGCCAAAACACGGGCCTGATAAGCAACCAGTCCTCCGTCGTCCACCGCAACCGCCTGGACCGCTTCGCCCAGGAGGACCTTGAGGAGGTGCAGCTCGGCAACTTCGTCGGCCGCGGCACCTTCGGCACCGTTTACCAGGGCTTCCTGCAGACCAACGACGGCCCGCTGATCGTGGCGGTCAAGGAGCTCTGCCTGAGCGCGGAGACCAGCCAGGAGATCCTGCAGCGGATCCTGAACGAGCTGAACATCCTGTGCAATACCCGGCACAAGAACATCATCCGGTTCCTCGGCAGCGTGTACTTGCCGGAGACGTACCGGCTCCGCGTCTTCACGGAGTACCTCGAGTGCGGGACGATCTCGTCGATGGTGAAGCGGTTTGGCGCGCTGCCGCTGTTGGCGATTCAGAAGTACATGACCCAGATCTTGATGGGGCTTGTCTATCTGCACTCGCTGAATATCGTGCACCGCGACCTGAAGGGGGATAACATCTTGCTCAACAAGCGCGGGAAGGTGCGGCTGGCGGACTTCGGCTGCAGCGATACCCTTGCGCAGCAGGTTGATACGCGAATGCAGGCGGGGACGACGTCGAGCGGGGAGGAGAATGGGGACTCTTGGCCACAGGGCGACGAATCCGCCCCGAACGAGTGCGGGGGGGAGGTGAAGGAGTCACAGCCGAAGACGCCGCCGGTGGCGTTTCCTGTGGGAACGCCGTTGTGGATGGCGCCCGAGGTGATCCATGGGAAGCTTTCGGACTCGAATGTTAATGTTTCGCCGGCGTCGGCCGACATCTGGGCGGTTGGGTGTATTGGTATCGAGATGCTAGACCGCCCGATAT